TGAGTACCACATCTTCTAGTTCTCTACCATATTATATGTGATCTTTTGATCAAATTACTGTTTAGACTTTTCTCCTTTAAATTTATGTTTTACTTGTGCCCTTCTTCCCAGGTACTTTGTTTTTTTTCTTTGCATATGTACTGGTCTTTTCTGTCTTGAAAAAAGTTTTCATTGCCCACATTTCCTTTTTGTTTTCTCTTCATCACTGTCATTTTGTTCCCACCATACTTTTGAAGCTTTCCGAGTTTACTAGTCACAGTTTTATTGCTCATTCTGTAACCCTTTCTCTGTTTTCCACCCCCATGAGACCTATTGCTCTGTATATTCATTCCTTCTTTGGTTTCTTTCACTAACACTTTGCTTTACTGTTTCTTCAGCCTTTTTTAATACTGGTGCTAATAACCTTTGTCATTATTTGCAGGGTTCAGTCTTCGATCTTTTGTTTCTCTCATTTTGAGTCATTCAAGGAATTCTCATCCATTCTTTTTTTTTTTCCTATTTATTGTTAAAAAAATTTTTTTTTGTAGTTTTGGGCGTTCTTTCTTAGTCTTTACTATTATTTATGACACTCTCAAATTTAGAATAATCTCTAATTTTCATTACTGAGGGGGTTTTTATCCTTAGAAAATCCTTAAGGAAAATCATCACACCCATAGTTTATGTGTAGAGTATGATCCAAAATTGCTGTGTAAATGCCAGTGGTTGAATAAATACATGTAGACAGATGTGCACATCCCCTTTCTGAATAGGCTAGCCATAATTGTTACATTTGCTTTATGAAAATTTAAACAGTTTTTAATCCTCCTTTCTGAGTCCTTTTTTTATGTTTTATTGTGAATTATGTGATAGTTTACATGGGAGAACATTAGTTTTACATTCATCCTATCGTATATCATTTCATTGCCATGGTTATAATCCCCTCCATGCATCATCAACCAACCAAAGGGTATATACCCTGCAAACCTGCCCCTTGGTCATCAGCACATAGCCCCTCTCCCTCTCT